TCCCTGGGACTGCCCTGTGTTGGTGGGTCTCCAGGGGTATTAGGCTTTGGTGCCTTCCCTGGTGGGCAGACCCCTGGGGATGTGAGCCCAACAAGTCCCAAATTTATTGCCAACAGTCTTAGTCCAAGTTCTTCATAAGTAGTACATGGTATTTCTGTAACACTAGGGGGTTTTACTGATTTATTCTCTTTCTTAGTCCTGTTAACCCCTAACTCCAGGGAAAAATCCCCACCTGGGAAAAAACCTTTCTCAGGGAGGTGGTTCTGGTTATAACACATAGGGCTAAAAAAGGGGAGCAAACATATTAAGAACAGTATGCCATATACACCAGGTTCCTTGAAACATATGCTGTGCAGATGTTTCTTCCCTGCAGCAACTGTGTCAATCAACAAGGATGGACCGGCCTCCGGCAACAGAGTAGACACAGATAAAGGCTTAGGAACTAGAGATCATCTACTGTCACTTCTCTTTAGAAATAAAGTGACTAAAAGAGCAGTTAAATTCCTGGAGTGTGGTCTCACAGTTGTGGAAAGAACTGGGCTGGAATCCCCGTGCTCTGGCGCCATCATGTGTTATTTGCCCTTCACATTACACCAGCACAAGGAAAATAGAGTAGGGCTCTCCAAAGTTCCTTTTTTTGGCATCAAATTTGCAAGTAGCAACAACAGCAATTGAGACAGAACTTTCAGGACACAAGGCAGGTCAGCCTCGGGAAAGATCCACCTGCTCTTCCTCCCTACCCAGGCACGGGAACTAAAGAAAATAAAGGACAGGGTCCCGCTGTGACCTGAGTGTCTCAGTGTCAGACTCTGCCTCGGCAGGGAGAGTTGGAAGTGTTGGCTGTGGACTGGGGTTTCATTGAGGCAACGCCATCTGGGTGTGGCTCTAGGACAGTGGTTCTCAACCTTCTGGCCGTTTAAATACAGTTCCTCATGTTGTGACCCAACCATAAAATTATTTTCGTTGCTACTTCATAACTGTAATGTTGCTACTGTTATGAATCATCATGTAAATATCTGATATGCAGGATGGTCTTAGGCGACCCCTGTGAAAGGGTCGTCCGACCGCCAAAGGGGTCGCGACCCACAGGTTGAGAACCGCTGCTCTAGGAAGATCCCACTGCAAGTCAGACACTGCACTCTGCATTCAGACAGCACAAGTCCCACACGCCCTAGGAAGTTGCCTTTAAACAAAAACTGTCCCTGTGATCATGGTGTTGGCTGCCATATGGACAAAATAGATCAAATTTGTTCTAACTTTTAGATTCATTTAACTAGAACAGAGACACTATGAACTTGGAAGATTGTGGAATTTATAGGAATATGCTATTTTTCATTTCATAATAGTGTGATGATAATAATCCTGTTACTATCTGGTTTATATATTGTTAAGAGTAGAAATAAGTTGTTTTTTTCATTGTGTTTCCTTCACCTTTTGCTCCTGGCAAATGCTACATGTTTATTTGTCTAGAATATCAATTTGCAGATTTTGACACTCATGTATAACTTTTATGAGTTCTAGTTAAAAATGAAACTTTCTAAAACTAAATTGGATTTTTTTAAAGCTAAAAAATGCCTAGTGTTCGGTAGGTTTTCCAATGAACATTACATAAACTTTTTCTTTGGTTAATAAAATATAAATATTTCTCATTGACAAATGAGAAAAAGTTTTCTAAGGACAAATGTGTACATGATATACTCCTTGAAAATAATACAGTTATAATTTATTGACATCTTTCTTTTAGGGTGCTATTCTCAGTAACTTACTACCCAATATGAGTTATGTTCTTCAAATAGTAGCCATATGCACTAATGGCTTATATGGAAAATATAGTGACCAGCTGATTGTCGACATGCCTTCCAATGACCTTGGTAAGTGTCCACCTAGTAGGCCTTTATACTATCTACATAAATGAGGTTAGTTTAATTATTGGATGCATTGGTGTTTTCTCTCTGCTTTTATATCCTTTGGGCCAGAAGGCAAAATGATTCTCTTTATAGTCTGGATCATGGGTAATTTTGTGAAACATGGAAGCCATTTTTCATCCAGCAGGTCTGGGCAGGACAATCACTGAATTTATTCTGAATATTGAAATTTTCTATTTGTAAACTAAGAACAGCAAAACCTTTTGTAATGTCTGTGATGGTCACCAAATGAAAATAGCTGTGTGAACATTAAGACTTTTATTTTGGACAATGAGCTTTGGTTTCATTTGTGTTTATTTCCTTTTCAGCCCTCAAAGCATTTTGTAGTAAGTATACATGTGGTGCTGGGATTATGTAAGGTACTTTGGAATATCTATACAAAGCACCTCAAGAGTTTATCTTAGATATTTTTATTCACTTTTTATAATTTGGTTGGGGGGGGGGGGGGCGGGGGAGTGCTTTCCTCTTAGTTGATTTCCTAAAAGCAAAACAAAAAGTTGGTTCTAATTGTATTTTATTTGCATGCATCTTCTCTGAGTATTACGGGAAAATCTTTTGATCTCAAAGCATATGCAATAATTAAATGAATGGCTAACTATCATAATTTTACAATTTATAGCTATACATAATTAAACAAAAGTCTTCCTTTGTTAATATAAGCAGTTTAAAATAATAGGATGGAATTAAATATGTATATATGCATATGCATATTCTTAAATATATTCAAAGATACATATATAAATCTAAATATTCTGTGGTCATCCCTATAATGAGGCAACTCACTGAAATTTTTACAAGTTTTTAATGGAAATGAATGGATACAAATTACATTAAGTATAGCATGTTTCAGTCTCATGTATGGATGGACAACTGTGTATTGACTTACCTTGTGGTCCATATGCTACAGCACAGACTTTATTTAATCCATATGAGCTGTTCACTAATTACCTCTTCTCAGTGTTTTTACTAGTTGAATTTGCACTGAAAGAATATATGCCAAAGCATTAGACATTAGATTATGTATTTTTCTAAACTACAGGCTACAAAACTTGCCAAGATATTTCCCAAGTTAAAACATTGATGGCTAATGAATATTACTACTATCATGATGGCAATATCATTATTTAATAGTATTTCACATGGCCTGGGTATAACAATCCTTCCTTTTGCTCTTATTTAGCATTGTTTTTCAAAATCAGATTACTTTTAAGTGGAATGTTAGCTCTAAGTCTTATTAAAAGGTGAGTATCAAATGAACTGACCATGGTTTCAGCTGTACCATCTCATGCTCCTCCACAGAATGAGGAGCATCCCTCACTCAGCAAAGTGCCCTTATTGATCCCCCCAGAAAATGGCATCTTTAGCAGTGCAACACTGACCATGTTGGTCAGTATCATACGTGATATGGCATCCAAAACCTCCTCTAATCCTATTGTGTCTTTTAAGATATGAATTATATTGAATATATTCACTTGATTTTACTGTCTTGGTTTCATTATAACTATCTAATTTCTTTACATAAAACAATTTCCCAGTAGTTTATAAAAAACAATTACTGTTAGCTATTTATATTACACTCGTTCTTACTCTGTCCACTATGGCGAAATTTCAGTCCACTATGGCAAAATTTTGAACTTTCTGAATGTTTTTTTTCTTTTTGAGAAACTTATTGCATATGAAAAAATAGATCAAATGTCTATTTTTTATAGAAGTGATTTCTGAGTGATCCTTTTAGACTGAATCTATATTGGCACAAAGTACAATATTCTTGTATCGTGTGTAGCACTTTCACATTTGTACAAAATAATCAATATTATAACTTAATTTCTATTTATTTAAAGGATCGGGACACTATTGAACTAATGAGATGCTAGTGTGGACACACCATTTAATCTTCATGAATGTCTCAGTCCTTTAAAACATTTTATATTGTAATGATGTTTTAGTAGAAGATGGTATTGGATTTATGTTTCACTATGATATTCATTTTAAAAACCAAGGGTTAAAAACAGATAAATGATCCTTTAATTATTCTTTCAAAAACTACGTCATCAAAAGTCAATTTACCCAAAGTTTGGGGTCTTCCTGTTTTATATAGAAAAAAGATTAGTTCTCTTACAACTCATCCTTTCTGATTTTAAAGGCTGCAGAATCATTCTAATCAATATGTTTTCAATTCATTATTGAAATTACATTATGTTAAATATTGTTTCTATGGTAAATACACCACAGTAAAAGTCATGGTTTAGTGTGATGGTACCTTCAAGATTTGTGAAGTTTGTGATTTACGTGGCTAATATAGATGTAAGTAGATTTCAGTTTGCTTATTTCATTGTCTTTGCTAGTACCATTTCATCCTGTTTATCATGTTGTTTCATTACTTTAGTAACCTTGTAATATGTCCTATTGAATTACTCTATTATTATTTTGGATAAACTGTTTTGTAAATACTGTATTGTTTATTGCTTCTGCTCAAAAGAAATGAAGGAGGTCATTTATAATTGCCCTTATTCTTTCAATCGAAGATTTCAAATACTTTAATCAATATCTGTGAAGGAAACCTCAATCTTCCAAACTGTGCATTTAACTTTGGCTCCTTTGATTAAGTTATTGCTTTTGCATTAAATTATGTTTATTGTGTACAACAGTATCACCATACACTGGTGGCCATTAAATATTATTAGAATCTGCTGTTTTAAAATAAATGCATAAATTCATATTCATAAACAATTTAACTTTGTCAAGGAAAACTTTTTAAATTTAAACAGAAAGAACATTCTTTTCAAATACTTTGCAGAAAATTATATTTATAAATAAATAATTCGCAAATTTGTTTCTATTGTAACTGACATAATTGTATTTGTTTCTTTTCTATAATGTAGAGCTAATTCCTATACATTTATGGAGACATTATGTAGGCACATGTTTTAGGGCCTTGGTAATTATGCGTTCAATTTAAATGCATGGTGAATTAAATCAACACAGTTTTCTGTTATTGTGTGCTTTTCAGTTGTGTAACAATTGTCTTTGTTAAATCACTCTACATCTGTCCTTACCCTGCCTGTACCATCCTATGCTATGGCTAATATAATATAATATAATATAATATAAAATATCACAGTTTGAAGAGATCGCAGTCCACATTGCTTTCACCTTTTGCACTGTGAAACTTGGCTTACCTTCAAACAATTAAATAAGTCTTGCTTGCCACCCTATACTAGTGTTGCTTTTTTTGTGTGTTATGGAATATTAATGTGTAACTAACAAGCTCTTTTAGAAAATCTGGCATCTAAGTGCCCAAAACCAAAACCAGAATGAGTCAAGAGCTTTTGTTCAGTTATCACGCAAACATGAATTTTAAATATTCACTAAAAAAAAAAAAATACTGACAATCTTGGCTGTTGGACTTTTACCGCCCTCATGGAATCTATTTCGATGAAGTGAGAAGATTCTGCAAAGAAGCGTAATTGTTTTCACTATCATATATGATTGTAGTACCTGAGTCAGGCCAGTAGCTACTAAAACATCAATTATTATTTGTGAGGAAACAGCAGGTCAAAGGGTACCCAATGTGAGACCTTGTGCCAATCACTAGAGTTTGACCTTGGCTGCTATGAACTTTGACACGCAGAAGTCTGACTTCCGAATCTCCAGGATGATAGAAACTGTCTCCCCAAATTATTTTATTTCAAAATTTTTCTGAAGAGATTCAGCAAAAAAACACTTCCGGATTATTTGGAGGGGGTGTTGACGTGTTGCTGGGTAACCCCAGAATTTCAGTTAATTAAAATGATCTGAGTTTAATAGGAAACCAGAATTATGGTCTTTCAAAGTGTGTACTAGTATATATACTTACCAATATGAAGGCCCACATGTGGGGTATTCACCCATAAGAGTGCCTTGAAACAGAAAGGGATCAAAGGGCTGTGTGGGTGCCTACATGCTGCCCCTAGGGCCAAAGAGAACTTCTTACTTCCTTTTTTTAAAAATATATTTTATTGATTTCAGAGAGGAAGGGAGAGGGAGAGAGAGATAGAAACATGAATGATGAGAGAGAATCATTGATGAGCTGCCTCCCGCACTGGAGATCGAGCCTGCAACCCAGGCATGTGCCCTGACCAGGATTTGAACCATGACTTCCTGATTCG